TCATTGCTGTAGCCAAACGCCTGACAAGAAGCAATGTAAGGACTTGTGGCTTACAGTTTTGGGGGGATGTGGTCCATCCTGACTGGAAAGGGATGACAGCAGGAGCATGAAGCTGCTGGTCATGCTGCATCTGCAGTGAGGAAGCAGGAAGGTAAATTCTGGTGCTCAGTTCACTCTCTCATTTTCAGTTAGTCCTCGAACCCTATGGGACAGTGTCACCCACATTTGGGATAAGTCTTCACTGTTCTGTCCTTTCAGAAAACACCCTCACAAACACACCCAGAGGTGTGTTTCCGTGGTGATTCTAAATCCCATCACATTGCCAACGAAGATTAACCATCACAATCCTTTTCTTTTTTCTGAGCCACATCTTATGTAGCACAGGATGGCCTCCAACTCATTATATAGCCATGAACTCCTGACCCCCTGCCTGCATCTCCCACATTCTAGGATTAAAAATATGCACAGCATATTTATTATATTATATTATATATTTGTATTATATTCCTTTTCCATGAAACCACCTTTGACCATCCCAGATAGTCAAGAGGGCTTCACCTTCTGCATATGTGCAACTGTTGGCCTTTTGGAAAGTCACTTGGCATAACTTATTATTTCAGGTCTCTGTCTAAGTAGTGCAACAAGCCCATGTTGCTCTTTGAAGAACTGTCTTGTCTGCTGCCATGTAACTCTTCAAAGGCCTGCATAGCTGAGCTTAATAAACAGGTACTGAGTCAGCTGTTGGACACCTTCGACCACAATGATGATACAAATAACATAATTGTCTTGTGTCCAGTCCAGCACTGAAGGAGCTTGGAACTTTCACATTCAATATAACAACAAACAAGTCAGCCACATAAATGAAAATTAGAATCACTACATACATCAATGAATTGAAGTCTGATGGAAAACTGCTGAAATTAGAGCAATAAGACAGGTAGGGTACTGAATCCCAACTCAGCAGATAGCCACAAAAAGAAATTTTTGTGGGAACCAGACCCAGTCCCACAGTAGGAAACCTAAACAGTGTTTGATGAATTGCCAGAGGCATGATATGGACAAATTTGAGAGTGAACAATAACAGCTCATGCTAGTCACACGCTAGCTATTTTCTGGGAACCCCTCTAAGTATGTTATGTGTCTGCTGATTTAACTCTTACAAAAGCCTTGTCCTTCTTTTATACATGGGGAAACTGAGGTATAGGGAATGTCAGAAAGTTGTTGAATGTAATCTTGGCTAGAAATTTTTAAATTTCTAGTTTGGGGATAATGTTAGATTTACAAAAGAGTTTCCTCAGAGCCCACACTCTTGAGTGACACAGTCATATTTACCTGATTCCAGCTATTGATACCCACGTAAGCAAGTTCACAGGCACTGGTCACTGGTCCATATGCAGACCCTTGGAAAGTTGTTCTACTCACTTTCAAGAAACACTCCTCCAAAGGGAATCCAGGGGACAAGAAAGGGAAGATGAGAGAGGAATTAAGTGATGTTATCAAAGTGTACATCTTTATATGCATGAATAAAAACACTACATTGAAACTCATTATTTTATACAATTAATATATGATGATAAAAATGTTTTAAACCCCACATCCTTAGCCTCTCATAAATGGGAATTGTTCCTCCCCACAACCCTAAACCAACACTTTGACCTCACTCTTCCATGTAATCCACTGCTCAGTCTGCATAGGGTTATGACAGTTCCTTATAACTTTTCATTCTATAAAGCTCATCATGCTTTAAAGACTGGGGCTCTGCACTATATCCCTCCCAGGACATCTCCAGCCTAAAATATTGTGATGAGTGATGAGTATGCGTTCTCCAGGTGAGGTATATTGGTAGTAATTAAACAATATTAATCCCATCAACTTTGATTTATATTCTGTAGCCTCAGTAATAAAGCTTTACATTCTATTTTCTTTCTGACCAGTAACAGAAATGGTGTTTAAGGATTATCATATAAATCTATTTTTGGTCAGTCAGTGTTGGAGAATTTCTTCAATATATTACAAATGTATTCATTATTCTCTAGTTCATAAAAATAATTAAAAGCTACAGGCAAAACACAAATTCTCAGGACATAAACACAACTGGCATTCCACTGCCAAACACCAAGTTTGCCAGCTTAGTTTAAGGGTTTAATGAGAACTTGTACCTTTCCATCAATAAATAACTGGGGCAGCCATTCCTCCTGTTCTCAGGAATTAGAGAACTAAAGCTCTGCCTATCAAAATGAAACAGCCTATTGTCATTTTGTGTACATTTTTAACAACTCAGAAATCACCACTTTAAAACATAAGCTACTTTTTAAAAACAAAAGTTTTCCTAAATGTGATTCCCAGGGTGCAAATAACATGTGTTCACATAACAGAAAGAAAAAATAATAATAAAACAAGCAAGGAAGGAATAGAGAGGAATTTCAAGTAGCTCTAATCTATCATTGTGATCCTGAAGCTTCCCCAGATTAAAAAAAAAAAAAAAAGGCGTAAAACATGGGCTTTACAAGCCTCAGGTGACCGTCCAGACATCTAAGTACAGTATTGGGTTTTAAGCATAATTAACAACCTTGTTTTCCATTTAAAGAATTCAAGTTCTGATTCCTTAACGGGCAAAACACAACCAATTTTATTCCTGGGTATTAGGATAGACCATTATATATAACATGAATTAAAACACTACAGAGACTGTTAGCACAGGGGTATTCACGAGGGTGTGGGTGTGTGTGTGTGTGGTGTTCTTGTTTCTGTTGTTTGTTTTCTTTACCTTAGCCTCAGGACAATTTGTACTCATTTATATGATTAATTAGGGAACCCCATTTTGCATGGTCCACCTTTGGGATGGAGAGTTGACCTGCGGAACTCACACAAGTACTGCAAAAGGCCCTGTCTCTGGGAGGAAACTCCAGCATGAGCAGCATGAGACTTTATTTCACCTGGTAGACCAAATATGACAGATTGCTTTATTTACAATGGAATATTAATCTTCTGGCTTTGGTAACAAAAATGCAGTGCTCATTTGTACTGTTGTAAAATTTGTAAATTTGCCCCATAGGATAAGTAATACTCAAAGCAGCATCCTAATTAAAAGGAAAATTCAGTTGTCTTGCAAGATAATGTAAGAGGGCACATAAATCGTAAACAAGATACATGATAAAAATGAAAAAGACAGGCTGGATAGGAGAGGAATGAAATAAGCTTTGGAAATGTGCTTCTTAAATGAACACAAATTGCGAGATCATGTCTCATCGAACAATAAAAATAACAAACCAGTGCAAAGATGTAATAGAATTTCCTGTGTATACCATTTTAATCTTAATATAATTTCCCCCAGCACATCCATGTTTATTGAACTACTATGGCCGTTTCTTCCTCACTCTGTCCAAAGTTACTGAGAGTGTGCTCGTCCCTGTAAATAATTCCCTTACAAGGAGCATGGAAACGATCCAGAAATTGAGCACAGTTTATAAGAGGAAAAATGGCGTCCTGTCTGCTCACAAAAAAGGCCTTACAAGGACAGCATACATGTGCACTGCTTCCTCGGGGAAGCTGAGTACAGGGACAGTGTTTGGCTCTGCCATCAACTTCACGTCTTTCTTTTCCTGCCTTCAGAAAATATAAAGAGGACTCACAGGGAATCCTAATTTGTTGGATAAAGAGCTAATGCAAGGACTTCCCAAGTCCAATTAATAAGTACCAGTGTGTCCTGAGTAAAATATTGGGTATGCTGCCTCAGTTTCACAGTCAGCAAAATGGGGATGGCAATTCTGCTCAGTTTCAAGCCTGATACCCAAATGATATTTAGTAAATATACTGAAATGCAGATATAAATGTCAGAACTGTGCTTAGGAAAGTGTGCTGGAGGGAGAAATGGAATTCAGAGAGGGTCTTGTACTGACCTTTGACCCCTGCTGAGGAAGCACAGTCAACCAATTCCAATCGACCCCACATGTATCTCAGACATCGCGACTTCAAGCACAGTAGATCCTGTTTCTCCACTTACACTCAGGTTGGCCATTCAGTTTCTATAATTATTTTATGAAGTTTCAAAATAACAAATTTAAAGAAACACAATACTGTCACAGGAGAGGGGGAGAAAGAATGTATGAGTCAGAGGATAGGGAAGAGTGCTGTGAAATGCTGTCTTTATGACATGACCTGACTATAAACTCCCTGGTCACCTGCACAAGACCTGCACAAGATCAAACCAACAAGATCAGTCAACATTCCACATTGGGCTAGGTGGGTTGCAAAAGACAAACAGAGCTGAATGTGGGAAAGCTGTTAAGGAACATTTGGGGAGGGGGTGGGGGAATTGGGCATGGATAGAACCCAGATACATTGTATACATGTATAAAACTATCAGGACTAAAGAAAAAATGGGAGAGAGAACCAGTTCTTTCTCTGGGGACTAGCTCCCTGAGAGGATATCTAATCCTAAAATGGGCTCTAAAAACATGTACACGTGAGAGAGACCTCTAACTGCATATATATATATGCATATGTGTGTGTATGTGTGTAATAGAAATAACCAAAGATGAAGACAAAATTGTGAGGGAGTGAAGCACATGGGAGAAGTTGGCTGGGGACTAGGAGAGGGTGGAAATAATACAAATAAAATACCAATACTATGAAAACAAGAAATATTTTTATAAGAATATTAAAAACAAATAGTATTTTCAAGAAATAGAGGTAGAGATGATGCCTTGCTTATTACTTCACTTTTAATTTGGTCTCACCGTGTAACTATAATTACTGTTTTGCTAAACACCAACTTAAATATTTCTTCTGGAGTTGAGGGTGCTCCTCAGTGGTAGAGGCCTTACCTAGAATGTACAATACCCTGTGCTCCATCCCCTACACTGTCAAAACAAAACAAAGCAAAACAAAATCTTTTTGGGCCATCCAAATGTAACTCATTTTATTTTTTATTATTTTCCAAAAATTCCATAGATAACAGACATATATTTACCCATTCAGTCACAAAATAAATGCCAAATTATTATCAGATACATTTTAGTAAATACATCATCACTTCATTTGTTGAATAGAATACATGATTTTAACTTTGATATTTAATGCTAGATTAAATAGTGGAAACTATAGATCAAACACTAACAGATCTACTAAGCAACAGTAGCTAAGTCCCCAGAGTAAGCAGGTGCACACCTATACAACCTTCGATAAGAGATCTGCTGTGAGAGCTGAAAATCAGCAGCTTTTTAGCTTTGGAAACTTGACATTGTTTTCCGAAGAAAAAAATTCTAGATATTTAAATTGAAGTTTTCAAATTTATCTAATTTTGTAATATGAAAATCATTTTAAGTGGTTCTCTATCCCACTGTCTAAAAACTTTATTGATCAAATAAAGTAGACGCTATCATTTAGTTTATCCCCAGACTTCAGAATTTGTATCACGAACCATCTAGTGCAGAGGCAACTTGATGTTTGTGACAGCATCACCAAAGCAGATGTCCTTCCAGCAGCCAAGGCTTCTGCAGAGGATGAGTCCCAGTTGCTTTCTTTACAGTGGTCCCGCCAGGCCATTGTTTCTGATGACTCTGGCATACTCCTTGGCTGACTTGTAAGGAACTCGGGGTCTTGCAGGGTCTTCAAAATCAACGTGGAAGAGGCCAAACCGTCTGCTGTAACCATTGTTCCACTCAAAGTTATCCAAAAGAGACCACACGCAGTATAGTTGAAGGTTGACTTTATCAACATGGATAGCTGAAATGTTGTTAAAAAGAACAATTACCATTACTGGGAAAGTTTTCTGAGAAGCGCAGGCAAAAGTCACTAATGAGCACTCGAGGTCTCTTTCTCCTGTTCTGTATGGGGCCTCTGTGGGAACAGGCAAAACTGTCCCTCTGTCTCTTTTTCCACACACAAAAAGTTGAACTAAAATAAAATGGTATTGGATTTACTGTATTTGTTACTTAGCTTGATTTAGTTATTCCACAGTGCACATTAACATTAAAGCATTATGTCTTATACCAAAAACAGAGAGAATTTTTGTCAATTAAAAAAATCCCCTTTCCAGTTTTCTGCTTGACCCAAGCAGGAGCTTCCATTCCAAAGTTAAATTAGAGCGAGGCATGGTGACACAACACCTGTCATCCCAGCACTTAGGAGTCTGACATCAGAGGATCACAGCAAGTTCCAGGCTAGTTTGTTTGGCAGACCAAGACCTTTCCACAAATAAGTTACTTATTATTCTAATAATGTGGTTAATCATTTTGGCATTTGTTTCATTCATTCATTCATTCATTCATTCACTCAGAGCATAATTTTCCAATACCTTTCCCAGTGGACACACACACGCACACACACACACACACACACACACACACTCACACACACAACCTACAAAACACATACATTCTTGCCTAGTACTTAGAAGTGTATTCAGTCCAAAAAAACTCCATCCACCATCACAGTACAGTTTCTAAAAGCCCAGAAAATCCATTGGCCATTTGGAAGAGAGGACAGCAGCCTGACTCATCTAGGCTTGTATTCTCATGATCAAACAGATAACATGTCTTATAATTCTGAAAACAGAAACTCCAAACAGAAAATGTTGGGCACTCAGCTCTGGCCATTTCTGCACCCTAGGCTGAAAAGTTTTTAAAATGCAACCTGTCACTCTCTCAGAGTGCTATTGCACAATACATGCTAGGAAACAATGTTGGTGTGAGTACAAACCAGAGCAGCCACTATGCAAGTCAGTGTGGAGGCTTCCTCAGAACACTAGAATTAGTCTGGCATGGTGGCACACACCTTTAATCTTAGCACTTGGGAGGCAGAGGCAGGTGGATCTCTGTGAGATCAAGGCCAGCCTGGTCTACATAGTGAGTTCTAGTACAGCTGGGGCTACAGGGAGAACCTGTCTTAAAAAGACAAAAAAAAAAAACTAAAATTAGAGAGTCATGGGGTAGAAATAGACCTACCACATGATCAGCTGTGTCATTTTTGAGCAGAAACCCAAAGGCATCTATGGCCTACTACCAAGATACCTGTTCACCCATGTTCATTGCTGCTGAATTCACAAGAGCAAGGAAATGGAAACAACCTAGATGCTTATCAACTGATGAATGGATAATGCAAATGTAGTCCATATACACAGTGGAATATTATTCAGCTGTTAAGAAAAAGAAAATATGAACTTTACAGGTAATTAGATTGAACTAGAATATTTTATTTCATTTATAGATGTTAGCTTTTAATCTTTATAAGTATGTGCTTCATTCGGAATATGTACAGAGGTCAGGGAACTAGCAGGGGGCCATAGGCCGGAGGCTTTCAGGGTAGAGTAGAAAGATTGCAGCGGTATAAAATGGCAAAGGGGAATAATGGGGCATTTTTTTAAAAGGCACAATAACTGAATCTATTCTTGAGATCCACTAATATCCATTTGTCTGTACAGAAACCAAATGAAAAGTCTGGTTTGTTTAACAAGATGGTCATATTCCTAAATAAGCTGGGTGGAAATGAACATTCATATAATAAATCATATTTTAATTGCTCTGGAGTTTTCAACCAACTCGAGTCCTGTAGCTAAATATTATGAAAATCAAAATCTACTCTATTTTTTTTCCTTTGGTATCAATCTGTGTTTTTCAAGTCTCTTCAAAACACTGAACCTACTACATTCTACTATACATTGGTAAGTCTTAAGGGTTGTTTTTTATTTGTTTGTTTGTTTGTTTTACTTCGGGTATTATGCAGATGCCATGTCTCTGATAGGCTACTTGATGCATAACCCTAGGTACATTTGTACAGAGAGTTATGCAAAGTGCTTTGATCAAATGCCTTATAAGTGGTGTAAGGCAAGAATTAAACTCTATTGCCATTTTTTAAATAACAGTTTATTGGAAAATAAAAAATAGAACATTAGAACACAATAAGCCTTGTAAGAATGAAAGTACACACAAGATATTCCTTCTATTACCTCTTGTGATTTTCATGCGCACCCCACCCCTTTGTCAGTTATAATCTCAAAAATATCCTTTGTTTTAATAATTTATGCTTAGTAACTCAGCTTAAGTGTACAGAATGGTACGTCTCTCCGTAGCAAAATGACTAAAGCCCAGACCTCAAATAGAAAACAATAATTTCCTTTGCTTGTATTTCAGTCTGAGGCTATGTGAGAACATGCATGTTTTCTTTCCCACTTGCAGAATTACCACTGTCCTACAAGGAAGCCTGCCAGGTATAAAGCCAGACTGTTTCTAAAAACACACAGAGTCCCACTGATCATATACAAAAGAATTGATTCGTGCACTAAACTAGGGAATAAAAATGAGGCCGTGCCTGCTTGGAAGAGGACAAAAAGGAAATCTTGACAATTCCATTGTTAACTGCCAGGAGTGCAGCAGCAAGCGCTAAACTGCCCGAGTGACACTGGTGGATGTCTCTGAGTTTTCACTGCAGGAACAGTCAAGTGGAGAATTACCTAGTTAGGCTCAGGAGCCAGCCTGCTGGAATCCTTTTCCCAGTGCTATCACTGGGAGAAATTGCAAAACCACACCGGAACCTGCACGCCTCTCCTCTTCCAATCTCCTCCGGAACAGAAAGAGACCATCATCACATTTCTTGTCACCATGATTTATGAGGTCCCATAACTTGGCAGGGGAAAAGCACTTCTGTGAGTTCACTTTCTTTCTTTAACCCAAGTTGGAGGCAAAGTCAACATAGACCAACAGGATTTTGGGCAGCTACATGGCATGTTAGGATAAAAATGACACCCACTGTAGCATTAGAGTGTGATGTGAGAATACAAAACCATGGAAAAGTCTCATCAGCAGCAGGCTGAATGCAAAGATGCAGGAAGGAAAATTGTTAAGCCTGCTTCGGCTAGGCCAGTTTAGTTATAAGAACCCCACATTAGTGGTTGACTTTGTACTCTATAGAGTTGTGCATGCACATGCACACACACACACACACACACAACATACACATAATATACATTTTGTCAAGAAAGAAAAGAGCTGTGCTGATTAGTTTTTATTGCCAGCTTTACACAAACGTAGAGTCACCTGGGAAGAAGGAACTTCAACTGAAGAATTTCCTCAATCAGACTGTCATGGGGTCACGTCTGTGGGGCATTTCCTTGATTGATGATTGATGTGTGAGGGCCCAGCCTACCATGGGTGACACCATCCATAGGCAGGTAAGCCTAGGCTGTATTAAAAAGGTAGTTAAGGGGCTGGAGAGATGGCTCAGTGGTTAAATGCACTGGCTGCTCTTCCAGAGGTGGGTTTATTTCCCAGCACCCACATGGCAGCTAACAACCATCCTCAACTCCAGTTCCAGGAGATAAAACACCCTCTTCTGGTCTCTGCAGGCTTTGCACAACACACGTACACTTAGATACATACAGGCAAAATACTCATATATATAAAATAAAAATAAATAAATAAAAAATGTTCAAGGTAGCTAAGCAATGAGCCAGGGAGGAAGCCAGTAATCAGTGCTCCTCCTTGGTTCCTTCCTCTAGGCTTCTCCTTGTGTTTCTGTCCTGACGGCCTTCGATGATAGACTGTAATTTTGGAACATAAAGTGAAATAAACCCTTTCTACTGCAACTTGTTTTTGGCCATAGTGTTGACCACAGCGACAGAAAGTAAACTTGGACAAGATCCAAACTAAAAAGGTTAAGGTCATATTTTAACCCAAATAACTCTAACATTTATCAACAACTGCAAAGTCAAGAGGGTTTCCAAACTATCCTTAGTTTTTGTAATTAACTAGAAGACTCACTAAAAGGTATTAGAGTCATGGTTGTAGGAATTATAAGTAGAGATCCAGGGGGGCTGGAGAGATGGCTCAGTGGTTAAGAACACTGGCTGTTCTTGCAGAGGACCCAACACCTACATGGTGGCTAACAACCATCTGTAACTCCAGCTCCAGGGGATCCAACACCCTCTTCTGACCACTGCAGGCATTGCATGACATGATGTGCCTATCTACAAGCAAGCAATACACTCATGCACATAAAATAAAAATAATAAGTAAAATATTTTTAAAAAGAAAGATCTAGATTGAGATTAATGTCAGCCAAAAAGAAGATACATAGAACAGTCTGAGGGGTTGTGAGCACAAAGCTATCACCATCCTCTCCCTAGGAATCAGAATCATTACTCTCCTGGAATTGACATACCCAGAAAACACTTCTAGTCAGACACACAGAACTGAACCTTGATGTCTGGGGTTCTTAAAAAAAAAAATGTATTCTTCGAGAATTTCATGCATTGTATTTTGATCATATTCACCCCATCTCCCAAATACTCCCTGACCTACCCTTACCTCCCTACCCTCCCTTCATTTGTGTCCTCTTTTTTTTTAAGTCCATCAAGTCTATTTTTAAATAGTCTTGGGTATGAGTCTATCCCCTGGGGTGGGGTAGACTTACCAGGAATCATACCCTTAGAGAAAACTGACTCCCATTCTCCCAGCAGCTATAAATTGCAATATCTCCTTAGCTATGGATGAGACTTGGTGCCCACCACCCCATTCCATGCAAGGATTTTGTCTCGTTTGAGTTTGTGCAGGTCTTGTTGGTAGAGACTTCATTATATAAGCATGATCAATTGATTGTCCAAACGGATGACTTTGTGTTCAGTTGATAACAGGTAACTCAACCCCCCCACCCACCTCAAATAACAGGATTGATCTTTCTTGTCTGACCAAAGAAAGATATTCTTACCAAGCTTGGCAGAGATCACATCC